TAAATTGTTTAAAGTTCAGCAAGAAGAAGCTAAGATCAACGTAGAGATGTCATTAAGTTCTTTATTTCTTTTTTCTCAATAGATTTTAGACTGTGTTTGTTAAAAATCCATACCGTGTACGGGTTCTGGGAAGTCTACTTCGATGTTTTACTGATTGAGGAATGATGAAATATTTGTGCTTTTAAAAGAAATAAAACCTTTGAATTACAAAAAAAGTTGACATTCATTGCAGTCTCATCACACTTAAAATTGTTTCTATTAGTGAACTGAACCTTCACACTGATGAAAGTAATAACAGGCTAGCAAAAGAATGGAAGGTCCATTGCTTATATTCTAAATCTTAATGACAGAGGGAAAAAAATAACAAAAATGCAAATTCAGCTCTTGAAGCCATGTTGGGGAGCCGGCAATCTTGAAAACCCTCTCTTGCAGTCTTCAAATTCCATGCAAGATTTAGGGGGGAAATTACTGACTGTGTTAAGCAGGAAGCCAATGAATATACATGGATTAGGCCCCCAAAATGGGGGGTAGGCACCAAGCTAAAAAATCCCTCATCCCTTAGTGGTCCTTGACCTCCCCTACTACTCCCTCAACCACCCCAAAAAGAAAAAGAAAATAGATGCCCCTGCTTTTACTTTAGGGAATTTGTAGGTCTCCAAACATGCCGAAGAGATTGAAAGGATAGCTGTTCTTCTTTTAACACAGTGTTTCTCAACCTTGGCAACTTGAAGATGTCCGGACTTCAACTCCCAGAATTCCCCAGCCAGCGAATTCGCTGGCTGGGGGAATTCTGGGAGTTGAAGTCCGGACATCTTCAAGTTGCCAAGGTTGAGAAACACTGTTTTAACCATTATTTCACATTCTTTTTTTTATAAAAAAGATTTTTATTTTTCCTTTCAAATTCATTCTTAGATATGCATTCTTATAATTGTTATTTAACACATGTCAATTCGTATCATTTTTCCGCCTGTATATTTACATTTTGATATTTTCTTATTTCCCCCCCCCCCTATTTTAATCGTGTGGCGTCTGAGATACTTATTTCATGTTTTGTTCCTTTTTTTTTCTATTTATATATTTTTTCAAGCCACTCATAAAATCGCCCCCATGTCCTGTAGCACGCTGATTCCTCCTTGTCCTTTATTCTCAATGTCAATTTCTGCACAGTCTAATATCTTCTTCATTACCTCCCCTTCCGATGGGATTTCGTCTGCTTTCCAGTTTTGTGCAAATACAATTCTGGCTGCTGTTATTATTTGCACAATCAATTATGAATCTTCTATACTGTATTTCTCTGGTTGAATACCCAATAAAAATATCTGTGGCTTAAACTCCACGGGTTTATGTATCATTTTCTCTAACCATGTTTGTATTTTAACCCATCCCTACACATCCACCACATATGATAATACGTTCCTGGCAATTGGTGACATTTCCAAAGTTTAGCTGATTTATCCTTAAACATTTTTGCTAATCTTTCAGGTGTCATGTGCAATCTATAAAATATTTTATATAAATTCTTTTTATATGCTGCTGCCATTGTCAGATTATAATTCCTTTCCCATAGTTGTTGCCATTTTTCTAGCTCTGTTGTATATCCAAAGTTTTTTGCCCATCTTATCATTGTTTCTTTAACCTCTTCTTCTTCTAGGTATATTCTAAGTAGATAACTACAATTTTTAATGGCCTTCCGAAAGGCTATCAAAACCTGGCTATTCCGGCAGGCCTGGGTGCTGTTGACCTCATGACTGTGGTCCAGCCCCGACCAGATTGAATGCATGATGTGGTTTTTAATCTGTTTTTCTCTGTTTTCTTTTAATTCTTTATTTTTTTAAAAAAAAATGTATTTTCTGTAAGCCGCCCGGAGTCCTTCGGGATTGGGCGGCCTATAAATTTATTAAATACTAAATACTAATACTAACTACAATTTTTAATCATTTTTTCATCTGTTCCCATGAGTATCCTATCTAATTCTGAGTTTTCCATATTAAAACCATACTCTTTTAACATCTTTGTCATATCTTGGCATTATTTCACATTCTTAAAATAAGTTTCCTTCACTTGGTAAATTAAAACCATAATTTTATTTGCTCCTTACTATGACACTCGTTAAATTAGTCAATTGTGGTATACTGACAGCTTTTCCAATTTATGGAGGAAAAAAACCTGCCCACTTTGGAAAGAATAAAAAACTCTTAATGGGCTTAGTTGACTAACTGGACTGTCCAGTTATAAATCTGTATTTCCCCATTAGTACCAGGTACAGGTTGGGTCTACTCACTGATAATTTATATCCTAAGAAACTCCCCTAAAGAAAGAATCACAGGACAAGATCAAGCTACCTTATAGAAAATTAAACCAATTAGTTTAATCAAGTACTGTCTTTGTAAACAGCAATCGCTTCATCAGTACTCTTTCAGGCTGAGATCTGTCTCAACTGATCTTTCTGAACAGCTGTACAAAGACTGGAGAGATGCACCATATCCATACACAGTAACAGCAGCCTCTACAAGTTTACTAACTGCAATGGCAGAATTGAACTTCAGTCTCTTTGTCTCCTGCAGTCTCCAAACTAGCCTCTTTGGAAATGCTACTTGCATGAGGAGGTTCCCTCCCTTTATTGCCACAATAGTTATATTACTGCCTGAAAACCTAGAACAACACTCTCTATTTGGGCCTCAAAATGTGAATAGAATAGAATGAATGAG